CAAGCAGTGTATGGCATGGAATTTTCAAACAAATGTGTGCATGGCTACACTCCCTATCATGTAAGGGACTCCAGGGAGCATAACCCTCGACCCTCGGGCCATCAATTGCGCATTTCGACGCATGATGGCCTAAGAGGCCAAGTTTGCGACTTAATGTAAATACATGCAACACACAAATGAATGCTAACACCCTTTCATATTGAAGTCAAGGGCATTGGCTACCGAGGGTTGAGATGTGTTTCATCACTTGGAGTACGGACACTCCTCACCCCTCAAGTTTGGTTTGACACCCCAAACCAAACAATGCAATGTATAAGTTGCAACATGAGGCTAAGATGCAAAACATGCCAAATGTGATGCAAGCTAAACATGCAAATGTACAATGCTAGTTATGTAAGATGCAACGCAATGCAATCAAACATGTAAGCTAAGACATGAAATGCAACTAGCTAATAATATGCAAGCATGCAAGTATGATACAATGCAAACATGAAACCAATGCAACATGATCATGCAATGGTGGACCTAAGACACAAAGGGCAAACCTCAACCCACTCCCAAAACAGTAACCAAAAATGCCAAAAAGGATGGATAAATGTTCACGCAAACATGCATACTAATAGGCCCAAAACAAAGAGCATTCTACTACAACTACCCCAAACACTCATGACATGCATCATGCAACCAAAAGCAGAGTTTTAATGTACCAAAATAAGTCTCAAAACCCACTGTTATGGCAACTCAAAGCCTAAAACACATAGGCATGTACAATGCTCATTTCAAGGCACAACAAAACAACTCCCCTAAAGCATGAAAGAGATGATGAGTGTATGCATACAAGCATGATTTATGGACTGAAACATGGTCCCTAATGATTCCAAATCATGAGAATAAGCTAGGCTAAGCATGCTAGAGACCCACATGCTCAAGGCTCACAAGCCAAAATGCAAAGAGGCTACCCTAAACATGGAAATATGACTAAAACAGCCCCCAACAGTCCTTGAGCATGGCAAAATAATGCTAAGACCTTCATGGAGTTAAGCTAGAGCATGCAAGAATCATGGCCTAAATGCATGGCTTACTTCTAGGGAAAATGGAGGAATGCAAGGCAAGTATACTATGCATGTGAGGGACCACAAATCTGACCAAAAACAAAGGCAATAAGTGACCAAATAATATCCAAAAACTTCTGAAATGGGGCCAAATACAACCGAGCATACATGCTACCCTTATGAGCCAAAAATGAGGGCAAAAGAGAGATAAAGGGAGAGGGGTGTCCCTCCCCTATGCAAGACCTCAAAACCTCTAACAGTCCTTGAGCATGGCAAAATAATGCTAAGACCTTCATGGAGTTAAGCTAGAGCATGCAAGAATCATGGCCTAAATGCATGGCTTACTTCTAGGCAAAATGGAGGAATGCAAGGCAAGTATACTATGCATGTGAGGGACCACAAATCTGACCAAAAACAAAGGCAATAAGTGACCAAATAATATCCAAAAACTTCTAAAATGGGGCCAAATACAACCAAGCATACATGCTACCCTTATGAGCCAAAATGAGGGCAAAAGAGAGATAAAGGGAGAGGGGTGTCCCTCCCCTATGCAAGACCTCAAAACCTCTTCTTTACCACTGAAAATTCACTGAATTTCAGTGGTGAGAAGGCTAATACTCAAGGGTAACCAAAGCTTAGCAAAGAGAGCACCAAAAGGGCCAAACAAGGCCTAAGAGGGGGAGATCGACCCCCAACACCAAAACAACCTTAATGAAGTATCTTAAGCATGAACATATAAGACTTTTTTCAGTTATACACAAAGTCTAAAACAATGAGCAAGATAGGCAAAAGTCTAGTGCAAGATTGGGGAATCTAAAGTAAAAGAGTTACCCTTGAAGAACCCTTGATGAACAGCAAGTGCAGCCTTCTTCTTTTGATCAAAACCAGTCCAAAACCCTCAAGAACAAACTGTCAATGTCTCTCAAAGTCGAAGTAAGGTGTAATGCTATGTGTTTTAGTGCAAAACTAAGAACAAACACACACTTTAGGCCCTCAAACACACACAAAATGAAGAGAGAGAGGGAGATATAGAGAGAGAGGATGATACATATCAGATATATATGTGTATAGCTCTGGTTTTTTGCTCAACCCCTACAAAGGAGGAGGAGGGGCTCTATATATAGACAAAACAAAGGTTTGAAGCTTCTCAAATAAGCTAAACAAAAAAAGGGGTCAAAGGAGGCAAGGCTTCCTGAGGAAGCTAGGACAGCTGGCAAGCTTCTTGAGGAAGCTTTGACAAAAGGTCAAGCTTCCTCAAGAAGCTTTGGCCAAAATGGTGCAAAAAGGGCAAAACAGCCACATGTATGCCCCGGGGCAGGTTTGGTGCATTCCAGCTGGCACAGCTGGCATGTACCATGCCTGAAAAAGGTAAACAAGGGCTACCGGCCAGAAAAGGAGGTCACCGGCCATACTGAGTGCCGACCGGCCAATGCTATAATTCACCAATGGTCGGTAGCCTCAAAACATGGCCGTAGGCCTCAAACCAAGGCCGGTGGGTGTCAGGAGTAGCTAACAAGCTACTTTCTACCCTCAGAAGCAAAAACACAAGTGTTTGGTGCAAAACCAAACACAGAACAGTCGAGTTGAGAGATCCTGAGGCAAGGCGCGTAGCCGAGACCTCCGGGAACTCAAAACAGCTGGCATGTACCATGCCTGAAAAAGGTAAACAAGTGCTACCGGCCAGAAAAGGAGGTCACCGGCCATACTGAGTGCCGACCGGCCAATGCTATAATTAACCAATGGTCGGTAGCCTCAAAACATGGCCGGTGGCCTCAAACCAAGGCCGGTGGGTGTCAGGGGTAGCTAACAAGCTACTTTCTACCCTCAGAAGCAAAAACACAAATGGTTTGGTGACAACCAAACACAGAACAGTTGAGTTGAGAGATCCTGAGGCAAGGTGCGTAGCCGAGACCTCCGGGAACTCAAAACGAAACACAAACATGAGTAATCAAAAAAGTAAAAGAAAAAAAAAAAATATCAATTTTTTTACACACTTTTTTGGCTTATCCTCCTTATCTTCGACTGAAATGGGCATAACACATGTCTCTTCCACCTCCTTATTCGACACCAAACTCCCGAGCACTATCACATTCCAAGACTTGGACAATCGAATTTATGGGAAATCCTGTAGTACATTTTGTTTAAAAAATGTATGGTATATAAGATTGAACCACATCATTAAAAGTGACTTGGTAAATAGGTCACTTTTTATAGTTACGAGCCAAAATCATATTTGTTCATAACTCGAATCAAATTGATTATAACTTAGTTATGAGCTCCCATCACTTATCTCATGACCACATCTCATAACCAACACCATTTTGCTCATAATTAATATCACATATTTTATAACCATAATCACATTTCTCATAACTACATCTTATAACCAATACCCTTTAGCTCATAACCACACTATTTTTATCATAACCAATATCACATATCTCATAACCATTAATCATAAATCTCATAACCACTACCCATATAACTCATAACCATATCTTATAACCAACCCTTCATGGACTCATAACCAACATACTTTGACTACATTTCTAAGACATCATTATTAAGCACATGCCAAAGCTAGAGCCCGAAAATGACAGATGACTTGATAAATGTGGTTGATCACATAGACTTTACAAAAAATAGTATAAGTTAGCATTTATATATTTCTTTTCAATCAGTATTGGGGGTATTGTATTCAATTTTGATAATGTAACCTATATTAATCAAAGGTATTTAATCATAAGAAGCAACAAAGAGAGAAGAGCTCAGCAAGAGAGAGAGTGTGTGTGTGTGTGAGTGTGTGTGTGAGAGAGAAAGAGAGTACCTTGGGGGTATATAGATGAAGAAGAATTGAAAGGTCCATTTCACCTATTAAGATATACATACTCTCAACTCTATGAACACTTGAATCAGTAAAATCCATAAATCTAAAACCACGAAGAGGGACAAACTGTTGCCACAAAGCATAACATCGAAAACCACCAGGAATAGAAATATTTACTTTTTAACAATGATTCATACCACTAAAAAAAAGACCACTAATAGTACTAATGCATTGAAAATGTCAAAAAATGAAAATAAATAAATAAACAAGGCATAGGCAGTGGGCGGGATCCACTGTCACATCATTAATGGTGTTATTAATTAGAGTACCACTTTTAGTGCTCTCAACCATTTTTCTTTACTTTTAGGCCATGTTTGTTTGGGCGGACTGGATTAGCATTCCCATGACTAATAGTCCTATGATTACGAATTCGTTGGATTATGTATCCTATCTTAACTAATAGTCAAGTTTAAAATAATTAGTCCCTACTTCAATTGTTTAACCAAACATCGGATTAATAATTTTATTAGACTATTAGTTCAATCCCAAGCTCATGTCCACCCAAACAAACATGGCCTTAGTGAATGAATCCCAGGCAGGACAGTAGGCAACAAGAAACAACAGTGTAAACAAAAAATATATGTATATATATATAAAGAAAAAGGAAAAGAAATAGAGACCTATTGAATTGAATTGAATTGTTTCCAAGAGAAGGGAAGCACACAGTATATAAACTTAAAATATATATTGTCCAAATGCAACTTTACTTTGTTTTTGTTTTTTTTTTATAAAAAAGGAAAAAAGAAAAAAAAACAAGAATCAAACCTAACACAAATAGAAGCTTAATCCAAAATATATATATAAACCTAATATATATATATATATATATATTGTCCAATAAGGGAAGGTTGTTTTTGAAAATGTATAAAATGTATGTGAGATACATTTGATTTCAAAGGCTAAGATGAATTCTAATAAATATCAATGGTTCGAAAGAAGGTTTGGTTCAGAAGAAGCTTTGATTCCCACCCAAACGCTCATCTCTCTCTATCCCACTTCTGCCAAACACATCTACCCTTCTCTGCACGTTCTCTCTCTCTCTCTCACTTCTGCCAAACATGTCTACAGACCTGAAAAGGAAGATCGACACCCACCATTGAAGAGGAAGATCGAACTCAGCTCCTCGACACCCACCATCCCCGGCTTCCTTTGAACTCGCACTCGCACCCCTCCCTCTTCGCTCGACTCCCTTCAAACCCATCTTTCAGGTAATTTCAGTGTTTTTTAATGCTGTGTTGCGTCTCCTCTTCTCTCTCTGTGTTTGTTTTTGGCTGTTGGATCGCCGCCATTGAAGATCACCCACCCTTCGCGCACGCACCCCTCCCGCTTCGCTTGGCTCCCTTCAAACCCATTGTTCTTCAATTCAGCAGAGGTAAGTTCTTCAGTTCTCATAATTTTGAGTGTCATTCTCATAATTTTGGATACAATTTTGTATTTACACACACATATATGTATTTACTTCATTGTTCAAAAGCAAAAGCTACCCATTTTGATTCTTTTGTCATTCTCCTCAGTTATGAAGACAGAGTCTCCTCAGGTCGGTCTCTCTTCCTCTTTTTTGGTATTTTCAGTTCTTTATGGGTCATTTAATTTGGGGTTTATTTTTATTTCCTCTTTTTTTAGAATGCTTTATTAATTTGGGCTGCCATTCTTTCTCTCAATCTAGGTTTATTTCATGTTCTTGAACTGGTTTGTCTATATGGTTGTGGTGAAGATCATCATTAAGTGTATGAACACCACTGTTTTGTCATGTGAACCAACTGTTTGATAAAATGATTATGAGAGAAAAAAAAACTGATACCCACATTTCTGCACCTTTTTAAATTAGTTGTTGCTTTTGAAAATCATCAAGGTAGGTCTGTTGCTTGAGGTCCATGTACTTTTTGAACGAACCCGAGAAAAGATCATTCATCTTGGCCTAATATTGACAAAAATAGTCTCCTTTTGCAAATGGGTTTCCAATTCTAATAATGAAATGCTTTAGAAGAAATGGAAAAGATGATCAAGACAACGATTCTACACATGAACTAATCTAAGTTGCTGATATTTGCTAATTTTCTGATTATCAAGATTTTAGGTTTTAGAGTTTCATCCTCCTCTTCATCTATTTGGTTGATGAGGAGGAAGAGAGATGGTGACAAATGCAAAAACAGTCACCCTGCATTTGGTGGGTATGGCCTTGATGGAGGGCCGTGGAGAGAAAAAGGCCACCCAAACCAACCTAAAATTGAACCCAAGAGGTTTTCTAAAATAGGTGTTATATCAAAGGATATGCTTATAAGTTCCGACTTTGGCATCCAACCTTAAAATACATATGACAATTGTTATGTTGAATTGGTCATCCTTTTCTTTACCTCCAATTCTATTAATACAATGTTACTTTTTTATTATTTAGTTATTTATTTATTGAGGAATGTGACAGTTATTCTTGGTCTTTTTATGTAGTTTTTGTGAAGCTTAATTCCAAGAAATTGGTTAGTTCTATCAATGCAATGACACATCCATTGAAGCCATTCTATTAGATGTCTGAAAGGATTTAAGCACCGTTTGGTTCAATAAAATGAAAATGAAATAGAATGGAATGGTTAACCTCTATGAAATGAGTATTAATTTATAATAGCAAATGATGATTTATTTATCTTACAATTTTCTCTTTTTTTTCTTTTCTTTTTTATATCATGTTTATAATGAATTAAACACCACCCAAACGGAGAAGAGCTAAAATAGTCAAAAAAATTATTACAATTTGTCAAATTATTCCCACTATTTTCATAAAAAATCAAAACATCACTTAAAAAAATCAATTATCAAACACTCAAAAGCTCTGGTGAAGTCAAAATAGGAGAGCACTAATTAATTTTTCTTTTTGTTTTTGTTTTTGTGTTTATATATATATATATAAAGAACTGAATGGAATTTGGCAACTCACCATTTGAACTGACCCTCATGGGTTGGCATACTAATATTTTCAGCAAAAATGAAAGGATTTCAACTTATGCTATATAAATCATTGCAAGTAAAACAACTATAAAAATTACCTGCAAGCAATTTCTATTTCAGTGAAATGAGAACAAAAAATAAAAATAAAACAAACCAAAACATATATATGTAGCTTAATTACATCTTAGAACAGATTGAGCTCCCCAAAAGACAACTAAATAGCTTCAACCCACTCCCCAGTCACTACCAGTTCCATTCCCATACACTGGTGTCCACTTCTATTACTGTAGAGAGGATAACAATACATATTAATTGGCAGAATCATCGGCTTCTACACACTATGGTCCAGTTTTTACCTCTCTTCTTTATGTACAAGTCTGCAAACGTGGATAAATGTACAACAAAAATGATCCACGACTTCAACAGAGAAATCTTGCCTTTTATCTCTCTGTTCCTGAGGTTGATGCTGATGTATTTGTAGACAAAGGTACGGAACATTCTGCTTTAGCTTCCCAATGACTGCTAACGGTGGCAATACTACTGTTTTCAAAGTTCATCTAAGCTTGATTTCCAGCTGAATTTCTGTTAGAGTTCGACAATCTCTGCTGCCTCAGATAACTCTCGGTCGCATCTTGGATCAACTTAGATTAGTTCTTCAAAACTTGCTCAATTTATTGCTTTGTCATGTGAACCAACTATTTGACAAATTGATTATGTGAGAAAAAAAAAATACTGATACCTACATTTCTGCACTTTTTTAATTAGTTGCTGCTTATGTGGTTATTGGGTTATACAAAATTTGTCATTGCATTGTTCTTCAAAACCTGCTCAATTGCATCTAATTGCATCTAAGGTCCAACCTTGAGCTTTTGATAGTTTGCTGAGCATCAATCCTAAGGTGGATTATTCATGATTTTAGCGCTCCGTTTGTTTCAAGGGAAAACATTTTTTCGTATTTTCTGGCGTTGGGTTCGAAGAAAAATAAAAGTTGACAGAGAAAATCGCACCCTCTTTGCAGGTTCGATTTTTGTTTGTTTTGATTTCGGTTGTTATTTTTGTCTGTTTTGATTTTGATTTTTCTGAATTTGGAGTTTATTTGGGTTACTAATAAATTGGTGTATTGTATCAGTCCCATTTTCCTCCACCGTTGTTGTTTGTTGAGTTGAGGTCTGGAGTGAAGGACAGACCCATTGCCATTCTGAGAAGGGAGGGGGAGAGAGAGAGAGAGAGAGAGTTTGAGACAAAGTTGGGAGAGACCCAGAACAAGTTACACATATTGGGAAAGTGTGAGTCACCATATTGTTTAGATGACTGAGAAAATTCCTGCTTTATATTTCAAATTGAAATTCTTCAGTGTGCAGAATGATTATCACTGTCTGTCCCAACTATCTGAAATTTATCATATATCAACTGCTATTTTGGTTGAATGGTCTGTTATCGCTGTTGAACATTATTTTCTCTGTTATATTTTTATACTGCACATTAGAGGTTGACTTTACACTCCGCAGGTTTTACGAGCTTTGAGAAGGTTGAAAGGAACTTCAAATAACAAAAAAGAAAAGATGCCTGCAGAAACAAAACAACTCTTTGACCAGCTGACTGAAGATGACATGAAGTTGATGGAGAACGGTGATTACAGTTAAGTGACTTAGTTGTTTGTCACATGCTAAAATAGCACATGCTATTTTAGCACATTATCTTATTTGGGTCAAACTGCATGATGTGATTTGATTTGAATATAGGCATTCATGAAATGAGGTGTTGGCTACTGTAGACGTCCCCCGAACGCCCCGGGAGGAACGAGCTCCCGTTCTGTTCATATTGGGGTCACTACAGCTCAGGACTCTCAAATTTGTCACGGTTCTAAGTCTGAACCAAAGAGTCCAAATCCGGCAAATCGTTTTGAGAAAACAGATTTTTGAAAAAAGTGCCAAACATGGACTGCTTTGCCAGATACAGAGTCGCCACTTAAATGTTTTTTAATGGGAAATTAAGGAAACCCTGACTCGGTGCCAAAGGCCACGTGTCCGTCATCACCAAAGTTGCCTCGGCTCGGGAACTTGGGTACGATTGGGGAAGGTCATTTCGTGATCACCCCCGCTCGCCCGATCAAAGATCGGCCTCTACTAACCATGATATCAATTTTTGAAAACTTTGTGTGTCCTTATTCCGGTTATTAGCCTAGGTTACTATGTGATGCACACAGCATATAAGTGTAGACTGAGTTGCCTGAATTGGAACAAAACATTTCATGTTTATTTTTGAAAGGTGGTTTGCTACTCGCAAGTAGGCTTAAAATGCAGATTTTGCCACCCTCGGGTGGGCTTAAGAAAGGATGATTTTGCCACTATCTAGTGGGCTTAAAACTCACAGTTGATGATTCATTCCAATCCAACTAACCCAACCTTCACCTACAGGCATTCAGGCAGATATATCACATAAGCATTTAGCCTCATGGCAAGCATGCTATTCATGGCACTCACTCACACGCATGCAAGGATGCTAAAGCACAAAACTCACCGGGTACTCCAAGCCAAAACAGACATTTATTAGAAATTCATGCATGAATCCTAAGTATACAGAAATGCCTAATGCAACACATGCAAAAATGCAAACTATAGCGGGCTCGGCTATTCTAAACATGGCATATGGAATGCTACAACTAACATGTATTCAATTTGGAATTGAAAGTACAATGCAGTTGGTATGATGCGCCGAGCCCGGTGCATGCAAAACAGATGAATGATGCAAACATGCTGTCATACTGTATGCTAAATTGAAATATGCCCTAATCTAACCGTCAAAAGAGGATAAATAAAAGGGAGAAAGACGTGGGGTTGGAAGACATACAACACATACACGCACACTTATTACAGTTATGCCCCCGCGCAGAGGGTCCGAATAAATATACAGTCCCGAGTAAAAGAATATTACAGTCCAAATATCATTACAGTCCGAATAATAATATACAAATTCCTAATTAATTAACAAATCAACTAAGGAAATAAATAAAACTGGCATGCAAGCCAGGGACTGCCTTGCTTCTGATGGATGATGCATGTCCGGGTTGTCTTGCGCGGAAATCCACCGGGATGCCCCAATTAGCCGCTGTTTAGCAGTTATTCTTGAAACGCGTGCCAAGTCCCGAAAAATTGCTGATTCTTCATTTTGCTGCAACAGAGAGCAGGAAAGGGGCATAGCAATGTATTTTCACAGATATATGCATGCCTCGATCCTCGTGTCACCAATCACGCATATCGATGCATGATGGCAGAGGAATCGAAATGTGCAACTCAATATAGAATGAATGCACGTATAAACACAACAAACCCTAACTCCATCATGGGTAATCCGGAGTGTCGGTGACTGGGAAATTGAGACACGTTTCGTCACTCGGAGTACGAAACGTACCTCGTTTCCCGTGCCCAGGCTAACTCCTATCCCAAACACGATGCAATATGCATGATATGCATGAAATGCAACTAAGATGCAGCCTAGCATGCACAATGCTATGAAAATGAGATGCCTCGAAATACGTGCACACAGGCACGCAAACCGAGAAAATGCATGAATGTGATCTAAGATACAACCTAGTATGCACAATGTCATGAAAATGAGATACCTCAAAATGCGTGCACATGGGCACGCAAACCGAGGAAATGCATGAATGTGATCTAAGATACAACCTAGTATGCACAATGCCATGAAAATGAGATACCTCGAAATGCGTGCACACGGGCACGTAAATCGAGAAAATGACATACGCAATGTAAATGACATGGAAATGTGATATGGGCTTATACTAACATGAGAGAGCCTCAGCCACACTCACATAAGAGGCCGATGGATGAAAATGAAGTGCCTCGAAATGCGTGCGCACGGGCACGCAAACTGAGGCAATGGCATACGCAATGCAATATGGCTAGAATGGCATATAGAATGCAACATGGACTTATACTAACATGAGAGAGCCTCGGCTACACTCACATAAGAGGCCGATGGATGAAAAATGAAGTGCCTCGAAATGCGTGCACACGAGCACGCAAATCAAGGCAATGCATACGCAATGCAATAGCATGGAAATGACATATAGGATGCAACATGGACTTATACTAACATGAGAGAGCCTCAGCCGCACTCACATAAGAGGCCGATGGATGAAAAATGAAGTGCCTCGAAATGCGTGCACACGGGCACGCAAATCGAGGCAATGGCATATGCAAACTATGGCATGAGAAATGATATGCAAACATGCTAATGGAATTTAAGCACTGAAATGTGGGGGAAAACAGCCCCGAAATGAGGCGAAAACACACCAAATGCATGGAATAGTCCCGAAATGCGAATTTAGGCACCCGAAATGGCCTATAGCTATGCAATGCGTGCACAATATGGACATGGAATGTAAATAAAGAAGCAAGGCAGCCCCAAAATTAGCATTTTACCAGTACAAAACATGGCCAAACAGCAAACCAAGATAGGGCAAAACAAGCATGCAAGAAATGGCCCTAAACATGAGATTAAAAAGAAACTCATAGCTGCTGGCCCAAAACAGGTTAGGGTCCTTCAACAATGTTGAAGAGGGACCCAAAATAGGACTACTTACAGTTTATGGCAGCCCCAAAAACAGTATACAAATATGCTAGAAATGAAATGCAAAAATGAGGCTCAAAAGTGGCTATAACATGAGGTATACAAAAAATTCACCAAACAAGAAAATACCCTTAATAAAACATGTTCAGGAGGTCAAAATAAAGCCACTTTTAGTTCGGACTAAGGTCCAAAAACAGCAACATCAGGGGCTTCCAAGACATACAAAAATGGGACCAAAAAGAGGATATAAAGGGAAGTACAACATGGAAGTCTCAAACAGTGTTGAGCCCTTCTTCAATGTTGAAGAGGGGCTCAAAATAAGCCTATTATCAGTTTAAAACATACTCCAAAATAAATCACACACAAGCTAAAAATATCATGCAAGAAAATGACACTTTAGAGGGATAATGAAGCAAGTGCAAGATGGAGGGCTCAAACAGGGTTGAGCCCTTAATGAGACATGAAAATGAGCTCAAAAAAAGGATACTTTCAGTTCTGGTCGGAGCTCAAATGTATAAGAAGGAGAGGCTAAGAAATATTGCAAGAAATGAACTAAAAAAGGAAGAAATGGACTCACCCTTGAAGATCAATACTTTTGTTGCTTCTTGGACCAATTTTGATGACTCTAAGCTGCTAGAATTCTTCCTCTTGCTGCTGAAATGGAGTGGTGGTGGTAGAGCTTGGTGGTGATGAAGAAAATAAGGTATAGGACTTAAGGATTTTTAGGAAAATGAGAGGGATGGAGGAGGATTTGTGTCTTGAGGCTTGAAGAACAAATTTTCTAACCCTCATAACAAACAATGGCAGCTGGTTATAAGGACCAAAAGGAGGGTGTAAAGGTGGGGGAAAAGGAGGCAAGCTTTCCCCCACAAAATATCCCCCGGATTGGGATATTTTCTGGGGGAAACAGCTGCACAGCTGTAAAGTGTGCATTGAGAGGATCATGGCTGGCCACCCCCCCTAGCCGGCCGGCTAGGGGTCAAAAAGGTCAAGAATAATTAGTGGTCGGCCACCACATATTGGTGGCCTCCCAGGTCTCCTCTTCACAACCCTGTGGTTCGAATTTGGAAATTCTAAAACAGGAGAGAGAACAAGCCATTTTCAAGAGGGGTTCAAAAGGGTCAAATGGAATTAGTGGCCGGCCAGGATCTTTTAGGGTCCTCCCATGTGTGGACAACACAAATATGTGGTTCAAAGTTCAAGAAAAATGGCCCAGGTTGTTCAACATTGGCTCGGAAGGAGGGGTTCAAAAGGGTCAAGCAACATTAGTAGCCGGCCATGAACTTTTAGGGTCCTCCCATGTGTGTACATCACAAATATGTGGTTTGGGGTTGAAGAAAATGGCTCCAAGGTGTTCAACATTGGCCCGGAAGTGCGAAAAACGGGCGTCGGAGGGGGCCGGAGGAGTAAAAAACTGGTTGTTGAAACAATTACTGGCCTCCCACCCTTCAGTGACCTCCCCGGTAATAAAACAGAGGTACCTGCCAAAAATGAACAAGAACCGTCGCAAAATGAATGCCCGGGGGCCAAAACACGCAGTTCGGGGTCCCGAAAATGGGCTGTTAAGCACCGAAAGTGGCATTCGGCCATGAAGTGGGTTTCTCAGACCCCAGTGTCCCTCAAAAGGGAGAAAAAAAGAAGTATGCCAAAAATCAGAGAAAATGGAGACGGTAAAGCGGTCCCGAACCGAGGCAACACGGCCTGACGGCTCCGAAAAATCGGAAACCGGACTCCGAAATGGGCAAAATGGCCTGCGGCCACAAAATGTAGCCCATGGCCACTGAGAGATGGTCTACAGGACCTCTCCCTTCCCTCAGGAAAAGAAACAGAGAAAACTGAGCCTGGTTCGCAAACCGAGGCAAAGGACAAAAGAGGGTTCGGGAGTCCGGAGGCAGGGCTCACGGCCGCGACTCTGAAACTTCTAAACGAGCACATTATGTAATATCACCAAGTGCTCAATCGGTGACGTCTGAGTCTTAAGGTCGGTCAAAAATGGGGTGTCTACAGCTGCCATGTTCCTTATTTAGTGTGAAGAGGAAGTTTTGCTTTCTTTCAGCTTTGTTCAAATATTTCCATTCTAAGCCTTTGGATATATGAATTTGATCCTTGGTTCAACTTTTGTTTTGCAGATGTATATGATGAAAAGCAGGAAGTGTTTCAGCATGAGGCAGGTTAGTATATTGGGCTCTTCTCCAACTTTTTTTTGCTTTTCTCTTATCCCCATACCCCAATTCGCTTCTTTCCTCCCTCAGGTAAATTCCCCTCTGTGTGTGTGTATATATCTATGCATGCATTTTCTTTTGCATCCGTGTTGTTAGAATGAAGATAAACGTTGCCCGTTCTGAAAAATCTAGGTGGTTATTTATGGGACTCAACATTTTTGAATTCTCCATTGCATGTGAGGCATGTGTGCATTTAGAATTGAATCCAACTAAAGGCATGTGTGCTTTTTCATTGGATTCATTTGAATCCAACTAAAGCTTTTTTTGAGACTGTAAGTCAGTAGTAGAATATGTGATTCAAGAATGCACGTGAGTTCTAGCTAGCTCGCACAATTTTATTAGATCACACGGGCACAGTGGAACTACTTCAGTGTGTTTTTGGTTGCCTTCCCTTTTGATGGAATTTATTACTATGGGCATGCTAATATGCTAAACATGTGTGCATTGGCCTGGGAAATATCCAGTGCCCCTAGATTCCCTAGATCTTATCTCTTTTACATTTCACCCCGGAATGATGCTGTGAACTGATACTACTGAATCTCTTCCCAACAGAGTGCAAAAACAAATCTCAATGTGGAGCAGGTCTTCTATTCTATTGCTTGAGACATAAAACAAATACTTGCAGAGAGTGACTCCAAAGCAGAGGTACATGTACACGTTAGTGAATTTTCTTGAGGGTTTATAGACAGTGGTGGATCTAACATGTGTCCCTTCAATGACTCGAAAATTATGTTAACCGTACGATTTTTGAAATGTCTTTCAATATGCCCCTCCTAAATATGATGTACATGCCCCTATTTTTTTTTGGTAGCCTATCTGTTTTTTTTTCTTTTTTTCAATAAAATCCCGTAGCTTACCTTCAATGTTTATTTTGCTATAAAATCTATAATCACCTTAGATTGACTGAAATGATGAGTTTTGTTTTTAGTTTTTTGAGTCAATGCTGTGAAAAGTATTTTTGTTTGAATATATCTTGACTAAATTAAACCGAATCAGTCAGAATCGACCCCTTGCCTTAGTTTTACCTCACCCTCCTCTGCAAAAAATTGTCCTCCGCTGTTTATAGATGTATATGATTTTTTAATTTTCTTTTAATGATCCTTACCTCACCCCCCTCATGTTTGTTGCTTTAATTTTCTATAAATCACCCTCCTCAAATGAACCCAATGAAAAAGCTTCCTTGATCAATCGTTGATAAGAAAATAATGGATTTATACCAATGGATTTATATTGGATTTATCTATCTAATAATCATTTCTTTTCTACCAATGGATTTATATTTGAATATATGTGTGAGTCTATAAAGTTTGATCAAACTAAGTTTTCTCAATTGTGTAGTTGTATAAATTATAATTATAATTTGATCCTAACATTATTTATACCGTGCCTTCAGGCACGGGCATACGCTAGTATATATATATTGTCCAAATGCATCTTCTTTTTTCTTTTTCTTTTTTTCTCAAGCAAATTATAAAAAAAATAAATAAAAAAAATAAATAAATAAAAAACTATTTCCAAATGAGGTCAAATTATAAAAAGACTACTATATAAATATTCATTGATCCAAATGCAGCTTCTTCACAGAAATCCTTAGAATTCGTTGACCCAAAGTACCTACCATTTCAGAAAAACAATAATCCAACCTAGCACAAATAGAAGCTTAATCCAATCCAATTGAAGCAAACTACTCAAGAAACTCACTTGATGAATAGAACATAATTATTTTAGAACATAATTGATGAACATAACATAATTAATGGCCTGTGTGTAAAGATTGTTTGCAACATCCCGATTTTTCAAAGATTAGTTAGGCAAAAACTAATTAACCTAAGCGTAAAATTTTTGAAAGAAAAACCATTCTCATTCAATTAATTATTACAATCATTTTTCGTTACACATTTTCTTTATTCTTCACAAGTCCATACAAGAAATACCATTGATAGAAACCATTAACCCCACTCTCCGTGTATTACATTAAATATAACATATTCTTTTACAAACAAAATTCCCCAAAGGGCTTACAATAAATAAGAGGGCGTTGCCCTTTACAAAGTATAGAACTCAGCCAAAGAAACAATTAAAAAGCACTACCATTTCCATTCTACTATATTAGAAGTTATGGAATAATCTCAATAACACATTTTTAATCATAAAGGATCTAAAATATTAACCAAACTAATTTAACCCATCAAATTAATTAGTTTGGTATCCTCTTCTTGGGCTAAAATAGCCCCAAAAAGACAAAATAGTCTTTTTAGCTCAATAAGACAAAACATCACATTCAAACCATAATCATTTCATTTTTTTCTCTCACAAAAGTCAAAAAAATCAAAAAGTCAATCCCAAACGAGACTTTTTAGCCCTAAGCTAAAATAGCCAAAAAAGTCAAAAAGTTAACCCACATCCCAAACGAAGGCTTAGTAAGTTCATTATATTCAAAATTTTTCAAAAGAAATAATACTAAACATAACTTAACCTGTCTTATCTTTCAAACATAATCATATTTCATGTCAAGCTACTCAAATAGCTAATCTTTCTCAAATTTTCTACAAATAACAATTTTCACAACTTTTCTAAAATTAACTAATCAACATGATATTTACATTAAAAATCATGAAATATGCCCAAGAGTAAACATTTTATATTTTCATTTTCACAAAAATAAACAAAACTTAATCATCAATATATCACCATTCATAAAATATCACGAATACAACACTTTTAGAGTTTTAAATCTCAAAACAACTCCAATTCCACCTTAACAATTTACACAATATTCATCAACATCAATTTATCTTTCTCATAATAAATTTCTAAATCAAAGATGAGATAATATTTCAATATTATTTTTCTCAATATAAATTATCTACTCATAATATGATGTAGATACTAAGCATACAACTATTAAATTTGTTTTCGGATTTTTAACAAAAATTATCAACACAAGATGATTTTCCCAAATCAATTTCAAAACACCAATGTTCTCAACATTTCAACATAATTTTCTTCCAAAAATATCCAAACAAAAATCTGATAATAATATATATGTAATACCTCCTATAATGATATATTTTCTCCAAATGTCCCTAGCATAGATTTAAAGCAATAATATGAAGAAAGTCCCTACCTCAAATAATGAAGAGGAGCAAATCCAAAAAGCAAATTTCATCTAATCATGAATTCAAGACTACCATTATGAAGAGTACGACGATCTCTCCGACTTTCATTTACAAAACTTTTACAAAATCTCACTCTAAAAGCTCCCACTGTAAACTCAAAGCTTAAGCAACTATGGAGAACTAAAGAGAGAGACAGATAGAGAGGGTCTAACCCTTTGTCAAACCAAACAAAGAAAATGAAATGAAAGGGAAAGAAAGATGGAACAAGGCAAAAAAGAAGAGGAGGCAACCCCCCCAAGTGGGTTTCCTTCTCAAGGCTTCTCACTCAACCCAACACTATAATTTGATACAAAATATATTGTAAAATTTATATAACAAAACATGGGTATTGATGGGACATTTGTCCTAGGTAGCATACTAATTAATGGCTGAGATTACACTTCTTGGCATACATTTCAAGGGCTGAGATCACACTTCTCTTTTATTTTTCTTTCTCTCTCAGGCTCTGCTTTTTTAGGTTTCAAATTTCAAACATTTCAAGGGTTTGATGCCATTCTCTCTTTACCAGATGTTCTCTTCTCCATTCCACCCTCTCTCTCTCTCTCTCTCTCTCTCACACACACACACACACACACCCACACACACACATACAGAGTCAAACACACTTTTTGGTTCCCTCTCTCTTCTACCCGATCTCCCCCCATCAGAGCCCATCCTATGCGGATACCTAACCCTAACCCCGACCACTCTATTCAATCGTTCGAAGTCGAGTGAGTCATCTTCGATCAAATGGTGGGCTTTGCAAGTCGTCTTCGACCAAGTCAAAATCGTTCATAATTTGATTTCAATTTCAAATTTTCTTCAGTTTCATATTTCAGCAGGTCATATTTTCTTCCAACAGAACAAATTTTGGTGCGTGACACTTTCTCTCCTCAGTTAGATATGAGGGCCAACTATTCCTCTTTCATTTCAAAATTTGAAACTTTCGAACTCAACCTACTGTATGAATCTCTTCATGTTCTATGTTTTGCAGATCACGCTAGAGAACCCACTAAGTTATGGAAGTAATGATCTTTGTTAGAATATGATTTATTGAGTTCCATGTAATTGAAATTTTGTGTTGTGGTTATGTTAAAAAAAAAAAAAAAAAAAATTGTGTTGTGTTTAACCCGTGTGTTTCTAATTTTAATTATTTTTTTTTAACATTTATTATCAGCATATGTATCTTGTTTTAGATCTATTGTTAAACTAACTTGAAGGTTAGGATTTTGGAGATTGTTGTAAAGCTATTCACTTTGCTTGGTTCTCATTTTTTAAAAACAGTTTTCAAAAAATTCTACACTCTTATTTTCCGTGTTTTTTTGTTTTTACTGAATTTTTTAAATATTTTATGCAATTTTTTTACTTTTTAGATACACCTAGCATAAATACACCTAAAAAGTAAAAAAATTGTAAAAAAAATCTTTTAAAAATTCACTAAATACCAAAAATACAAAAAAAAATACAAGAATTATCTGTACACCACACACACTACACACACGCAATCTACTTTACACTGGTTGCAGCGGACATTTGCTCGGAGGCTACTGGCGAGCCTGAGAGGTATATTTTCCCTTTTTGTCTCTACAGTTCTGCTCTAGATTATCTGTACACCACACACACTACACACACGCAATCTACTTTACACTGGTTGCAGCGGACATTTGCTCGGAGGCTACTGGCGAGCCTGAGAGGTATATTTTCCCTTTTTGTCTCTACAGTTCTGCTCTAGATTATCTGTACACCACACACACTACACACACGCAATCTACTTTACACTGGTTGCAGCGGACATTTGCTCGGAGGCTACTGGCGAGCCTGAGAGGTATATTTTCCCTTTTTGTCTCTACAGTTCTGCTCTAGATTATCTGTACACCACACACACTACACACCTTCAATCCAAATTTTTTTTTTTTTTTTTTTGATTCATGGGAAAATGGCAGTAATAGGGGGGTTTTTTTTTTCTTTATATCTTTTTATTACTTTGTAATTTACTAACTCACGATTCATCAGATTAGGATCACACAATACATATTTGAGATCACACTACAACCTTAATATCTTCTCTTCATTGTTTACAGGTAACTTTATTTAT